CAGCAGGTCAAGAGGAGCATGGTGTGACAGGTTCGATCACAGAAACCCCCTGGGAGCTGCCACCTGATGTGCCAAGACTACTGCCCTTGTTTTCCTGCCCTGTCAGCTTAGGACTTCAGTGCCCTGCCTGGTTTGAGCCAGACCCGCTAGCCTGCTGGAAACCCAGACCCAGGTCTGAACCACGACCCCTAACAGCTGTACGCTTAACTGAAAGCAGCTTACAGAAGTGTTCCTGTCCTTAACACTCAGGTGCCCAACCTCCAATGGGGTCCAAACCCTAAATATATCCGTTTTACCCTGTATAAAGCTTATACAAGGTAAACTCATAAATTGTTTGCCTCCTATAACACTGATAGAGAGATATGCACAGCTGTTTGCCCCCCCAAGTATTAATACATACTCTGGGTTAATTATTAAGTAAAAAGTGATTTTATTAAATACAGAAAGTAGGATTTAAGTAGTTCCAAGTAGTAACAGACAGAACAAAGTGAATTACCAAGCAAAATAAAATAAAACACGCAAGTCTATGTCTAATCAAACTGAATACAGATAAAAACCTCACCAGTTCCAGTAAGCTCTCTTTTACAGACTAGCTTCCTTCTAGTCTGGGTCCAGTAAGCACTCACACCCCCGGAGTTACTGTCCTTTGTTCCAGTTTCTTTCAGGTATCCTTGGGGTTGGAGAGGCTATCTCCTTAGCCAACTGAAGACAAAATGGAGGGGTCTCCCACGGGCTTAAATAGACTTTCTCTTGTGGGTGCAGACCCCCTCCTCTCGCCTATGCAAAGTCCAGCTCCAAGATGGAGTTCTGGAGTCACCTGGGCAAGTCACATGTCCATGCATGTCTCACAGTTTTTACAGGCAGAAGCCATTGCCCACATGGCACCTTGAATGTCTCGAGGAAGACTTCTTATGTGGATTGGAGCATTCCAAGATGCATTGTTCCTTCAGTGCTTCTTGATTGGGCACTTAACTTTGCGAATTCCTTTCTCCAGAAACTGACCAAATGCTCTACTAAGGTTATTCAGAAATCAAGCCAGTACACAGCCAGTATTCATAACTTCGAATACAAAAATGATACATGCATACAAATAGGATTAATAGATTCAGTAGATTATAACCTTTACACAGATGTATTACATGGCATATGTAGCATAGAACATATTTTAGTTATGTCAAATATTCATAAGCATATTTCCATAAAGCCTTATGGGGGGCACCATCACACATGGCCCTTAGTTGGTTCCTCCATCACTTGCACCAGGAAGTTGTCCCCAACACTTTCCAAAAATTTCCTGGATTGTCTGTGCACTGCTGAATTGCTCTCCCAGCAGATGTCAGGGCGATTGAAGTTCCCCATGAGAACCAGGGCCTGTGATCTGGAAACTTCTATTAGTTGTCCAAAGAAAGCCTTGTCTACCTCATCCTCCTGGTCTGGTGGTCTATAGCAGACTCCCACCACAACATCACCCTTGTTGCTCTTGCCTCTAAACTTAACCCAAAGACTCTCAACAGGCTTTTCTCCAGTTTCATACTGAAGCTCTGAGCAATCATTCCGCTCTCTTAATTCCAGTGCAACTCCTCCACCTTTTCTTCCCTGCCTGTCCTTCCTGAACAGTTTATACCCATCCATGACAGTGCTCCAGTCAAGTGAGTTACCCTACCATGTCTCTCTTATTCCAATCACATCATAGTTCCTTGACTGTGCCAGGACTTCCAATTCTTCCTGTTTGTTTCCCAGGCTTCTTGCTTTCATGTACAGGCACGTAAGATAACTAGCCGATTGCCCTTTCTCAGTATGAATCAGGTGGCCTCCCCTGTTGCACCATCCTCCTTGTATTTCCCCACTTACCTTACATACATATATATCCATATACACTACAAATATATATATATTTGTATATATAATAAAATATATATATATTTGTAGTGTATATGGATATATATCTCATATCCATATTATTCATATGTATTAATTATCTGGGAGTGCCCCCAAGGTTCAATCATAAAAATACATTCCTCAATCAAAGTCCCGGGTCTAATATTCCCAGGCCCACTATAAGGGACTAATAACAATTGGAAAATAAAATCTGTCCATCAGTCGCATGAGGGAATGTGCAGACTAAGGGACACATGGGGCATGAATGTGTGGATGGGAAAGTAAGGGGGCCCCATAACAGTGTTTAGCTCACTGGACCACCTTCAGTCCATGCATTATACTTTTCCAGGACGATGGGTAAACATCCTCCCCATAAAAAGACAAAAAGCGGGGGAATGTAGTGGCAAGAGAGCCTGAGACATAAGCCCTTGTATCAGAGGCCTAGTATAAGGCAGGACCTGCCAACAGAATCTGGCAAGAACAGGGCTGATATTGCAGAAATACACATTCCTAAGAAGTGCTAAGCACAGAGTACTCATGCAAACACATCCCGATATCAAGTGATACCAGAACATCCCAAGGATGGTACAAAAACATTCCCCAAGAATAATAGGAACACACTGACCCCTCCTAAAAGATAAGGTTAGGATGACAGTACGTAATAGAGATGTTTTGATCGAACCATCATGTACAGATAATGTGATAACTAGCCACATCGGTGGCAGTAACTAACTATGTCAGAGAGGCAGTACTAACTGTTTGTACTGGGATATAAAGATGTATCTCAGAGGGAGTCTCTTTGTCTGGCCTAGGGAGGAACGGAAAGTCCCGCCATTCACTGAGCTGGTCCATTGTTATGGGCATACATGTTTTAGTGGTCCGGTAGAGTCTACAGGATACTAGTACCATGCTTCTTGACAGTAAACCTGGCTGGGTGCCTTCGTCCCTTAACAGTTCGCTCAAGGTCTACCATGCCAGCTGTCTGCACAGGACTGAGGCAGCACACAGAGGGAACACACACACAGCCAAACATCTAACAACATCTAAGCACATCTAGTAACAGGTGAAAGGGTTTTACATAAATGTATCTATCTATCTATCTAGGCCAGCCAGAGCCTCCTTTGCATTTCAACTTGTGATACTGATTCTAATTTACACTGAGGCCCCTTTACACCACTCTGAGAGTGCAGAGGGACTGTAGTGTAAATGAATCATAGCCTATATAGTCATTTCCACCAGTGCGATGTGGGTGTCAAACACTAGCAAATCTGTATGGAGATGATTTTCACCCACTTTGCATTGATGGAAATGGCGACACAACATACAGTGTGGTGGAATGAGTGCATGATTTGTATCTGGCATGTGGCCCCATGGATCCCATTCAGCTATGTTTCATTTGTTACCTAAAGCTCTGTCCACACTAAGATTTTTTTTCCCTACAGTTTCCCACTTTTGCTGCCATCAGTTGAGCTCTACCAGTGGAAGCAGCAGCAGGAGCACTAGTGTAGACAGGTTTCTGTCTGGCCCCCTGTGTTTCTAAGCTCAAAGAAGGGCTGCATGAAACTGTGGTTAAAATGCCTGCCCATGCCATGGTAGCACGGGAACATTTTGGAAAAAAAATTCTACCATAGAGCTAGTCCTAGGGTCTGATCCAAAGTCCTTCTGTGGACTTCAAAGAGCTTTAGATGAGACCTTGCAGCCCCCCCCCGCATCCCCAATGTATTGGTATTTTGGTTTTACAAAATCTTTTTTCTTTTAAAATATGTTGACCATTTGAATACAAAACCACGGTGGCAGGGTCATTTGTTGGACAGCAATGTGATTATATAAACATTCCCCTTCTCCCCCCGCCCCTCCAGAAAGTAGAGATGACAAGATCCGGTGCCCACAATTCAAGAAGGATGTTGATGAATTGGAGAGGTTTCAGAGAAGAGCCACGAGAATGATTAAAGGATTAGAAAATATGCCTTGTAGTGATAGACTCAAAGAGCTCAATTTATTTAGTTTAACACAGAGGAGGTTAAGGAATGGCTAGATTACAGTCTATAAGTATCTACATGGGGAACAAGTATTTAATAATGGGATTTTCCATCTAGCAGAGAGAGGTCTAACACAATCCAATGGCTGGAAATTAAAGCTAGATAAATTCAGACTGGAAATAAAGTGTACATTTTTAACAGTGAGGGTCATTAACTACTGGAACAATTTGCCAAGGGTCATGGTGGATTTTCCATCACTGACCATTTTTAACTTGAGATTGGATATTTTTCTAAGAACTCTGTTCTAGGTATTATGTGGGGCAGCTCTCTGGCCTGTGTTACTCAGGGGGTCCAGACGAGATGGTCACAAGGGTCCCTTCTGGCCTTGGAATCTCTACCTCTTAGGTCACCTCGTTCTCTTCCCTCCCGCACTGCCTGCCAGCTGGGGATGGGTCCTTATGCTATATTGCCCAGGCTTGTGCCTGTCTAGTTTTACTATCGCAGCGGATTGGGGTTTCCATTCCTACCATTGGGAGATTATCCCACAATCCAGTGGTTCTCCCTGCAGTTCAGTCCACATTTTCCTTTTCTCCTTCTCGTCACATTATTCCCAGCTGTACCCCCATGGGCCATGCTGGGCAAATCCTGAGTTAGGGCCAGCTCATCACCTCCACTTTTGGCCCAAGTCCTATTGAGATCAAGGAACAGATGCCCACTAATTTCACCAGGCCTTTGCTATGGAGGGGATGAATGATCAGATTCTGAAAGTGCATGGTGGGAGGCGAGCCAGATGTTTATATATATATGTACCAGTGCAGAAGGGATCCAGGTGTAAGTGTATAAACATAATATATATAATTACAGTGTATATGTATATGCACCAGTGCAGCTCCCTGTGAGTCCATTTACATGGGTCTTACTATTTTATGGTCTTAAGGGGCATTTCCAGCAAGGAATGTATTAGGATGGGACAGACCTGAGTTTTCCTGAATCAAACCATAATTCTTATGTGTAGATGCTGTGTTCCATAGCCATGAAAATCAGCTTTTCTCTCCTCAGTTAACTCTGATTTCTTTGCCTTTGATGTACTATATTGAATTCCTTTACAGAATATTAATTTTGACTTTCTAATCATCCTATTAGCCTTTGAGGACTGATGCAGGAATGACTTCCAAAAGTCCTGTAACAATTTCAGACTACCCAATAAATGCCATGAGCTCTAATTCCATTGTGGTAAGACCATCCCAATCGCTTTCTATTTTCTCTCTACTGAAACATACAAAGTCAAAACAAATAGTTTCTGAGCAAAATGATCCAGGAGTAATTATTAATCCCCAGAGAGACAGATTGACTGGAGTAGATTTCTGGCTGCATTGTGATGGGGTGGGCATACTGGTCAGGGACCTTAAGATGAAGGAACTGGGAGAGGATACTTTAGTCTTTGATGTAGCAATGGGGGAACCTCCAGAAGATTGGAGCTCATGTTCACAGAAACTTCAAGGGAGCTACCCCATGGCTGAGGTTAGCCCCGCTATGCTCCTCTGAACTAGCTGAGTCTCTTGAGTGTCCAAACTCAAGCTGGAAATCTCCTGCCATCCATTAAGTTCTGTATTTCCTCCCTCCACTCTGTCTGGAAATGCCATGAAGAGCCTTTCTCCTGAGCTGCAAGCACACCAAGGCCTTTAGAGAACTCAGCAGTGCAGAGGGTGCACAGAAATGAACAAAAAATACGGGGAAAGAGTGAAATGGACCCTCTGGAAAAAGATTTGGGTCTAGCATTTTACTGAAAGCTCAGTAAAGTGGCAACATTCCTTATCCTAGGCAACCCATCTGTATTGCAGACTAGAATAGTAGCCCTACAGAGGACGAGTCCTGCACTTCTTGCACAGGCAGTATGCCCACTGCTTTCCTTAGGAGTTCTGAGTGTGTAAAAAATGCAAGATTGCAATGTAAATGCAAATATTTGTAGTGGGATTTCTTTCATGTTCCATCCAGTTGCGTGTACCTTGAGAGTCTCCAGACAAGCTGCATTTTCTTGAAAGTAATCTAGGGCATGGGAATGGCTCTCCAGTGGGGAGGTGGTGGGGGGAGGTGGAGAAGGAGCAATGCGGAAGAAAAGATGCACCTAGGTGGCAGTGTTCAGAATGGCTCTAAAGCTTGGGTGTGTGTGGATGTCGGGGTTGGGTCCAGGCCCATCTCTGTTCAGAAGCACTGGTCCCTCTGAAAGGCTGCTGCATTCTTAGAATTCATGTGACAGCTCAGACCCTCACCTAGTGTCAATCAGTGTAGCTCCCATGCAGTGACAATGGCCAGTGGTGCTGGAACATTTTTTAGTGTGGGGCTGCTGAAAGCCAGTGGTCCCCACGCTAAACTTTTTACCTCACCTCCTCCCTTACTCCTGTCTGTACCCTCCCCCACACCCCAGAGTTGGGGGCCAGGGCTCGGAGGGGGGAGAGGGGATGCAGACAAGGGCAAGGGGGCCAAGGCTGGGACCTCACGTGCGAGGCCGGGAGCAGAGCCTCCAGCGTGGGGCCGGCGGCAGCGGGGACCTCGCATGCTTCCAAGTGGCAGGCCATGAACAGAGCCCTGGGCACGGGGCCGGCAACAGCCAGGAGCTGAGTCCCCAGGCGCAGGGCCAAGAACAGAGCTCCAGGCGCAGGTCCTGCAGCCGGGAGTCAGGACCCAGGTGCGGGGCCAGCAGCACAGGACCCTGGGCGCAGGGTGGCAGGCAGGACCCCACACAAAAACTGGGGGTGCTTCAGCACCCCCCGCGCCCCCAGTTCCCGCACCTATGACAGTGGCGCACTTGAAGTGACTTCAGCTGCGCTGCATCAGTTTACACCAGCTGAGGATCTGGCCCACTCTTCTTTAGGAGGCAGCTGAGCTGTCATTTTCCCTGATCCTAAATGTCTCCAAGGGCCTTTCCAGAGATAATGGCAATGTCCTTTTTCATTAGGGTCTTTGGCCTAAAGGTCTGACACTTGTGCTTCTGTCCATGTCTTTTTCCCCTACAGGAATTCAATGCAATGCTGTTTGCCATCTGTGTCTCTAGCTGCATCTCATCTTTTCATCTCCTCCTCTAGTTGCCTATGCTAACCCTTGAATTTTTTTGCCATTCTGTTACCCTTTGCAGTACACATGCTGCTGCAATGCAATTGCATTGCTGTACTCTCCAATGTCCCCTGTTTAGAAAATCCTATTGTCTGAATCAAGTGGTGGTGGGTGGTTTTGTGCTTTGTTTGGTTTTCTGTGCCTCATTTTTTAATTTTTATTCTGACCGATGTAACTTCTGCTAAAATGTCTTCCTTATAATTTGCTTGGTGATCACACAGCCTTCTCACCATTCACTGAGAGCAGGACCAGATCTCACAGAGTCTGAAAAGAGCTATGTGGTAAGGCCACTGTTTCAATCAGATGCACAGTCATAGACAGACAGTAACGCCTTCATAGAATTTAAAGCTGCCAGCTGCTTTCTTAGTCACAAAAAAATCTAGATATCATTGTATTTGTAATGGAGAAATAGAATTTAGCATCTAGAAAAACTACCAGAGCCAACATGGAACTGGTATAATGGCATTGTCTGTAGTGGACTAGAGTTAAATGAGTAGTGCATGACTGGAGTGTGTGTTCTCGTATTCCAACTGTAGCGATTGCAATGGTGCCACTGCTGACTAATTGCAACCTCTTATGCTATTGTGTGTTTTTTTTAAACAAATCTTCCAACTAAGTTCCAAATTCTTCTGTATTGCCTGTTTTTCCATGCTTACACCTGGATCCCTTCTGCACTCCACTTCCTGGATATTTACCTGGATCTACAACTCTTTTGTTTGACTGGACTTATGTGCTGCATCTGGAATGTCCCATCTCTTCCTGTCTATTTTTCCCTCCCCCCCATTCCTTGTTGACTGTTCTATGGGTGTTCCGTGGATGTCAATGCTGCCTACCACGCAGGAAGCAGTTTGCAATGAGATCATAAACATTGCAGAAAAGTCTGTTCATTACTGCAGTGCTATTTCTCAACCTCTTGACTCTCGCCACACGGTGGCCTCTAATGACAATAAACCATCTCTAATCGTTTCTCAGCAACCTCAAGCACATCAACAAGGAGCCAGCCCTGACAGGAGTCAAACACCAGGAGACATGTAAGTGGCTCTGGTTGCCCTCTCTCCCGGGGCCTGGTTTGCATCTGTCATGTGCTGTTAAGTGTGGCATTATTTGGTGTTTTCTTTAAAACTCCAGGCCCTGGAGGCATGTGATTATGCAATAGTGTCAGCTTTCATTAAAAAAATAAGGAAGGAAGTTTCTAGCCCTCATCATTGCAGCGAAAAGCCTGAAAACAGGACCCCTGTGTTTATACAGCACCGGGCACAATATGCTGCTCGTACATGACTGGGGTGCCCTGATTTGGGGTTTTGGAATGCTTGGGATGGACAGTACTACATCTTCTCTTTCTGCAGCTTGAATCCTTGTTTCTTACACACAGATGGAGGGAAAAACTATGTCCCAAGTTTTTGGCCAGGGGGCCTGATTCTTCACTGCCTTGTGAAGTCATTTTCACCTGTGTAGAAGTGGGAGCACGAGCATCCTGAGTGGGTAATGCTTTGCACAGGGGTAAAAAACTACCCAAGGAGCAAAGCAAATCGGGCCCATCATACCAATGCATGGAGACAGAATGACGTGCTTGAGGAAGCTTGTAAAGTAATACAGTCCTTCAAAGCATAATGGAAATTAGCACAGGGTAAATGGTCAGTATATCGTACATACACAGGATCTGAATCAGCTTCCCAGCTGCTGCTCGAGAGATCTCACAGTTAAGAGTCACACTCCTGCATATACTTCCTACAGGGTGTAGGACTCATGACAGGAAGCCTCATGCCCAGCAGTGAGTGACTGCAGGATCAGCTCCTAAGATAGATGTTGCCCAGATAAAGAGGGACAAGGGCAAGAGAGGTGTGACACAAGGCAGATGGTGGGTGGGACATGGTTAATTAGAGTGGACAATTTGGTGCTAAATGCATAGAAAGTATCATTTCCTGGTGGGACTGCTAGTGCAGGGAATTAGACTCCATAACCTGCTACTTTCTCCTGAAGGTCTCTGGTTCAAATGCAGCCTAGATTGGTGCCTACCATCTGACTCATCAGAAATGAGTTGGTGGGTTCACAGTAGCTCCTAGGTGGCTAGTTGTTCACAGCACAATATAGCCGCTCTTACACTGGCATCAATAGGCCCTCTTTGGCAGTGTCCACAGAGAAACCAAGGACTGAATGGGCTTAGCGACTAATGCTGAAATTCCCAAAGCTGCCTAGGGCAGTGGTTCTCAACCTCTCCAGATGACTGTACCCCTTTCAGGAATCTGATTTTGTCTTGCATACCCCAAGTTTCACCTCATTTAAAACTACATGCTTCCAAAATCAGATATAAAAACACGAAAGTATCACAGCACACTAGTACCGAAACATTGCTGACTTTCTCATTTTTACCATACAATTATAAAATAAATCCATTGGAATATAAATATTGTACTTACAGTTCAGTGTGATACTTGAGCTTGTTTTTCCACTTGTGAGCCTTGTCTGAAGCTCGAGCCCCAGGTGGTGGGGCTGAAGCATGTAACTTAGCTTTGCGGGGACCCCTGTGGCGTGGGGCCCCAAGCAGTTGCCCTACTCACCATCCCCTAATGCCACCCCAGCATTTGCGATCCCATGACCACCGTGGCGGCTAGGATTGTCCTGGAATCTCCAGGAATTAAAGATTCGTCTTTAATTAAAGATTATATCATGAGATGAAATCTCCAGGAATTCATCCAGCCAAAGTTGGCAACCCTATGGGGGCTGCCACCCCAAGGTTGAGAAACACTGTTCTAGATGAGTTGAGTACCCCCTGGAAGACCTCTGCGTACCCTAGGGGTACACGTACTCCTGGTTGAGAACCACTGGCCTAGGGCATTTAAACACATAACTTCCATTAATATCAATGGGGATTGTGTATCTAAATCCCCTAGATGGCTTTGAAACTCTCAGCCAAAACTACTCTCTAACTCCTTGATAAACATTTGTGATTGAAGTCCATTGGTGGGGCAGCATCAAAGGAGCTTGTGCTTCCCACCAGCCTAGTCTCTGGAGAACTTGAGGACTAGAGTCTCCAGGGCTGGACATTTGGCACCTATCACCAGCACCGATTTCACTCCCAAGGAGAGGCAGGGCTGAGCCACAGGGCTGGAAACTGGAGCCAAACTTCACTCAAAGCTCCGGGGGTTGCTCAGAGCTATGGGCTTGGATCAGCTTCATCTCCAAACCCACAGGCTCCATCTTGGTTGCAGTGGAGGCGCATGTGTGTATCTCAGCAGAATTTGGTCCCTGATTTCTCCTGTCTATACTCTTCTTCAAACAGTTGCTGTGTACAAAGCGAACCTTTCAAAAAGGCATTTCAGTGAGGCACCAGGACACTCGGTGTGCAATGGAATATGACTAGAGGCCTGGGCAAGCAAATGAACTCCCATTCTGCCCAGGGCAGAAGTGGATATACCCAGAATTTGGAGGAGGTGGGGAATGGTGGAGTCTTGGTTCTACCAGCAGTACTCCCTGGGAGTAAGGACGGAACAAAGAGGAAGTTGTGGCTTCCTAATCCCAGTTCCTTCTTTGGGATGCTCCTTGCAGTGCAGCTGTACCATTGTTCCTTCAAGGGGACTGTGTTCGCGTGACAATGCCTAGCCCTGCTTTAGCAGCACAGGTTGTTTACAATTGTTTTTGGACTCCACAATAGGACTTACAATAAACATGTGGTAGCTTTTCAAAATGCAGTGTGTATTGGACATGACTGGATGTCCGCAGAATTCACTGAATAATTTGTAACATCTCTCTCCCTCTCTTGGCTTTTAGACTTAGCTACCAAGCCCTGTACAGCTATATTCCCCAGAACGACGATGAGCTGGAGCTAAGGGATGGAGATATTGTAGATGTCATGGAGAAATGCGACGATGGCTGGTTTGTGGGTGAGTGCATCCTATGTTTATTTTATTATTAATTATTATTATTATTATTATAGGCAGTAAAAAATGCGAAATAGTGGAAAATGTCAAAATTTGGAAATTGCTTCAAAATGGAGCAATGTTTTGGGGTTTTTTCCCAAAATTTGTCATGAAATATTTTTGAAACATTTTTAATTTCCTCTCTTTCCATATTTTTTCCACTGAGAACAATACAGGAATGATATCCAGGCAGATGGATTTTTCCCACCAACTTTTTCATTTTCTTCATTTTTCCTCTTGCTACTCTGTAACTTTTCAAAACTTCCCCAGTTTTGGAAAGGTGGCATACTTACAGAATTTCAGTTTTTCTTTGGCCACTCTAGAATTTTTCCAAAGTTGAGGAATCTTTGACATGTTACAGAGAGTGGAGAAAGAAAAATTGGTGGCGGGGGGAAGGGGAGAGGAAGAAATATGTGGAGGGGAGACAAACATAAAATAAATAAATAAAATAGCCCTACAGTCCAGAAAATCAAATTTCCAAAATTCAAAATTTCTATTTTTTAAAGACAGCAGAAAATTTTAAACCAAAAAAAAAAGAGCTTTTGGCAAAATTAAGTTTCCCAAAAGGGCCATTCTTCATCAAAAAGTCTCGAAGGAAGAAAATCGGCCGTCTCTAATTGTACTGCCGCACTGATTCAGTGCTGCAGGGCTGCACTGCACTTCATACACACTTCCCCTGGCTCAGGGAACTTGCTCTGAACAAGCCAAGTCACAGGGGATGGGCTGAGCAGGAAAAGGGTGTTAGAGGGGGGATTGCTGAGAGAAGCAGATTTTAACGAATGATTTGAAGGAAAGGGTTTGGTAGACGAGCAGCGGAGTAGCCGGTGATTATGACTCTCATTTAAGCAGAAAAAAGGAATACACCAATGCACTGCCCATTTCCAAAAGGGATGGTAGCTGGCATGCCTGGTAGCAGCCTCAGCAGAGATGCCAAGAGCTGAATGGGTCACAGACCAAGGGTATGTGCATGCATCAAGCTGGGGTGTGCTTGGCAGTTTGAGGACACATACCTGCCAAGCTCTCACTGAGCAAGCGTGCTAGAAATGGAGTGCAGCGCAGCAGCACGAGTGGGGGGAGAAGCTAGCAGCTGAGTGCGTTCCTAGCTTCCCTGGTGGAGAGACACTCAAGACAGCCGTGTACTATATCTAGGAGAGCTAGCCATGGTTATGTCTCCTCCTCCTCACTCAAGTGTTGACATACCCTGAGAGGCTTGAGAGCCCCTCTCTTGTAACAGGGCTTCCCTCCAGAGCAGGGCTGAGGCACACTATGAAACCTGTGTGTGCCCAGGCCAGATTTTCCAAAGAGCTAAGTATGCTGGGTGCTGAATTCTTTTGTAAGTTTGACCACAAGCAATGCAATGGGAGATGAGCTCTTTGGACTGCAGGCCCATCTGTGGGTGCAAAGCACATGGAAGCCTGGCCCGATTGTGTTCTGAGGCCACAGGCCCAGATTGTGCTCTCCATCGCACCTGGGCAAATCACTCCATTGATTTCAGCTGATTTAAATGGATGTAGCAAAGATCAGAGTCTGGCCCGTAGGCTACAGCCCTGTCAATCCAGCACTAACAATTGCTGTATTAAAATTAAAAAACAAAATGAGTGCAGTTAGTGACAAAAGTGTTTCAGTTAATTCTATTCAGGAACAACAGAATTTTTGACCAGGACCCCTCTTCTCCTGCATTGCCAAGAACAATGATTTGTACCCAGTCTGGCTTACAAACAAAGCAGGCTGCTCTTTCCATTTCCAAACCCAGTGACCTTCCCCTGTAGCTCCATCTTATTCAATTGCGTTCTCATTTTCTTTCCCAACAGGTACGTCTCGGAGAACAAGACAGTTTGGCACTTTCCCAGGCAACTACGTGAAACTGCTGTACCTCTAAAACAATCATGCGCCTGCAATGCTGATTAATATGCTTTGTTATCAGACAACATTTAAGTAGCAAAGACCTTTGAAATCAGACAATTTATTAATGTAATAAACAGAAGATGAGAAGTGGAATGGGATGTGGTTATGTGGTACAGTTCTGGGTTGAATGTGCAGGTCTGGGTCTGAGTGACGCTGGGCTTACTGTTCTTGTTTGCTGAAGGAAAGAGACAAAGTTTCTAGTTTACAATGCTGCCTTTGTGTTATTTGCCCCTCCTCCCCAAGAGTTCTGAGGACAGAGCTTAGTTTTCATTCTTTTCATTGAGACAGAGTTGGGGGAAGCAGCAGAATAGAGTGTGTGATAGGTTTTGCTTGTGTGAGAGAAAAAGCAATGGGAACTGTGATGCATTGGAGCAACATGCAGCTCTGCAGCTGCTCCCTCTCTATAATGGGGGGGGGGCTTTCTCTGAGATTACCCCCATCTGCAAGGTAATTTTCACTCTGCCTCCCACTTTCATTCTCAATTCTTTCTTTGTGATGTGCACCGTAACATACATGGCTGGCAGAGAACGGCTTTATGTGGTTAGACTAAGTAGCACTCTATCAAATGGGGAGGGGCTTTGAACTGACAGTTTAATCCAGAGCAATCAGCCAAAAAAATACCCTCAACTTTGGTAATATTCTGCTTCATAATATCCACCCCTGCAGGTTTTTCTGTGTGTGTATATGGGTGAGCGTATTGTGTGCATAGAAACGAACAGGGTTCCATGAGGAATCAACCCAGATTTTATAAAAATGGAACACAAATAATGGAGAATGTAGGGGGCACAGATCCTGTTTGCAAATCCCATGGCTGTTTCCCCCCTAAATGTTGTGCTAAATAACTACACACATTTTGAAGTGTACTCTTTGCAATAAAGACTTTATTTTTTCCTGGTATTCTATCGTAGACATTCAGATAGATGCTAGCAAAATATTACTGAGCTTGCTTTTTTTTTGGTGGTGGTGGTTCTTGATTAAACACACACATTTTGGCTGCCTCCTAATGAAACTAGCAAGACAAACCAATTTGTAAAGCTGTGTTTATACAGCTACTACCAGCTGCATATATTTGTACTTTTTTGAAAAAACACAGCTTGCCCACATACTTGCCTGTAAGTCAAAAATTAATGCTCTTTTTGATAGAAATTCTATTTCAAAAAGAAAAAAGTCTAGATAAAACCAGTTGCATCAGACTGCTTCCTACATTGCCAGTACAAATAGCAAAAGTTTAAATTGCTATTTTGGCATCAGCCATATTTAATAATAGAAAATGCCTATTTTTATGCCGATGCTTTTATACAAACTGATTAACAGTAACTGCAACTAACTGACTGTTAGCATGACTTGCAATACGTTTTGATAAATTAGCCATACTCCTGGGTTTAAAAACACTTATCTTTCGCTGAGATCAATGGAAGAGAAGACTCAAAGTGCTTCGGAAGTATGATTGTAAATATGTATATTTAACTTTGTACAGACAATGTACTTACCTTGTATAGAAAAAAATAATTTAAACAAAATGAATGGAAGGAGGAAAAAAGGCAGTTATGAAAGGTTGTTCTTTTTTCATTTTTATTTAAATGAAGGAATTCTATGTAAGCTCACATGAAGAGTGTTAGCACAAAATATCCACTCTAAACCAGATACAAATACAACACAAAGCACCATTATATTTTTGTGCAGGAGTGGGGGTAACTTCAATCCTTATCTTATTTATGGTTTTTGATTTTCTGCTTTTGAGTTGCATTCTTGTTATCTGCGGCAATGTTTAGACCTTTTGCTAGGACTGGATCACACCTAATTAATCTAGCCAACAAAGTAACGTGATGATATTGACTGTCTATAACCAACTCATTTAAAGGTTTCTTTTTGTTGCTGTTGCCATTTTTAGTTATATACACACACAAACACACACAAACCGCAATTTATTTTTGTGTTGATTTTGGTTCCGTATTGCAGTGGATGATGATTTGACAATAAATTGAAGGGCTGAATTATTCCTTTGGTCCTAGTCCAAGTTATTTACTGAAGTTTGTTGGGAGTTGTTGTGTGGCCATTGACTGTCAAAAGGAATTTTGGCCTTTTGAAAATGAGCCTTAGGCTCTTCAGTCAGGCGCTGTGATGCTCAGCGCTGCAATGCCTTGAAACATCTGGGCCTAAGTGCCATGCCGACTCAGGGCCTCTGCCCAGGGGTAGACCCTTGTGCTCCGACAAAGCCCCGCTAGGGGATATGTCTCTAATGCCCACAGCAGGGAGCCACCCAGAGCTCGTGGGGCTGTACCAGAGCTCTGCAGGCAGCCCTTTGAAGTTGTGGCTCGGGCTGGATCTTGGGCTCTGACACTCCACCCCTCTTCCCCCCAGTCCCTAAGCTTTAGAGGCTGAGCTGCAACTTCACAGTGCTGGCTACAGAGCTATTGTTAGAGCACTAGTGTAAGCCCCACTCTGCCGACCCACCTGGGCTGTGTAGATGTACCCCAAGTGTGGGCGGATGTCTGCCCAGGACATTCAGCTGCAAGATCAGAGCCCCAGGCTGAGAACACCAGCTGCAGCACCAGTGGCAAAGGCTCACTTGCTAAATGACCACCTAAGTAGCTCAAAGGGTTTTAAGTGCTGGGCTGATGTGAATAAAGGGCTCTGTCATATCATCAGGTTTTAAGCAGAAATCCCCATGGGACTCAAGGAAGGGTTCTACCAAAGAACAAATGACACAATGTGGGGAATCATTGGGCCACAGAAGGCAGAGGTGAAACTAGATCCAAGCATCACAGAGTCCAGCCACTGAAAAGCAGGGTATAGGGAGGTTTGCATGGATTAAGGCTACAGGGGGACAGCTCCATCCATTTCAGGGCCCCTCCCACCTGGTCCTTTAGCATAGACTCTCCCCTCCCCAGACAGCCCCTTGGGCTCTGCCTAACGTGCCCCCATGACCATGTCTTGTTTTCTCCTCAATCAGCACTGCTCCTACCAAGCTTGGTAGCCCCACTCCCCCAAAGCAGATTGGCAGCAGTCAGCTGCACACTGCTGCTTACTTCTCTGCCTCGGATTCTCTGCTGCAACCAGCTGTGGGCAAAGATACCAGTAACCCGATGATCTGGCCTTAAAGGTGACCTGCAAAGGACAGAAAATGCTTGGGTTTGTGCCCTTTATTGATGGATAAAGCAGGCCTGAAAGGCTTTGGGTTGGGTTTCTTTATTTTTTTTCTGCTTGTTTTTTACATTAAAAATTCTCGTCGTCTTTACAGTTGAACGCTGCAGCAGACTGGAGAACTGCTGCAATTGTGTGATCCCAAGAGACTGAATGCAATTGAGAGGAGATGGGCCTGTTAGTCAGTTCGCTTAAACTTTGTTTTTTGTTTCACACCTGTTTTAACTCCCGTGGCTACGGAACATTTGGAGGAAATGATGTCTTGGCTAAAGATGGAGCCCCTGCCCTCACATTAAAGGGATAACAGCTCTCTATACAGGCTGGAGACCCCACCCCCTAAAGCCTCCAGCAAAACTAGGAAAGACCAGACTTTCCACCTTTGGTATGTTGAAAGTAAGAAACAAAGCTGAGCTTGTTTTGTGGGGGAGGGGAGGAAGGACCCCTTTTAGGACTTCCATAATATACAATAAAGAAATATAAAAGGGCATAAACCTTATTTAAAAATAGCCCCTTGCCAATCACTTTTAGACCACCTCTTCTCAGCAGATATTTTAATGGTTTGGCTTATGTGTTTAAACAGAAGTTCCCTCTACGGGACAGAATTGTAACTGCTCAACTGTGTCTCGTAAGCGCTACACTTCTAGCAGTTAATGGAGATTCTCCTTAAGTGGTAGTGGCCTGTCCTCTTGAAGCAGAAGAATCTGAGTTCCATGCCCACTGCTCCCACACAGTTCTGTTGGCCAAGATGTGAAGCAGAGCACCAATGGGTGAGTGCTAGGTGGCTAAGGGGGGTGCTGATAAGACTCTCACCTCTCATCAAAAGCCCAAGAAGAAGTAACACGGACTGAGTAGTTGCCAGAAAGTTCAGGCACAAACTTGAAAACCAGTGACAAAACCTGGCATCTTAATTGAGTACCTGTTCTGTCACCCCACTGCCCCTGGGCAGGATGTTGCAGTAACACCAGACTAGTCACTTGCAGAGATGCAGCTTTAATGGCATGCACGCTGGCACCTGCCAGATGTGTACAATTGCAGACCAAAGAAAAGAAGAGAACCACCCCAGGGGCGGCAGGTTTGTAGAAATTTTGGTGGTGCCCAGAACACCCAGAACCCTTCCCCCCCACTGCAAACTCCCACACACACACACACCTGCCTAAGGCTCTGGGAGGGAGTTTGGGTGGGGGAGGGTGTCTGGGGTTCAGGCAATTGGGGTGCAGATGCAGGCTCTGGGAGGGAGTTTGGGTGCAGAAGGGGTGAGAGGTCAGGCTGGGAGGGAGTTTGGTGGGGGACGGGCTCTGGGGTGCAGGCTCTGGGCTGGGGTAGGGGATTGGGTGCAGGCTCTGGAAGGGAATTTGGATGCAGAAGGGGTGAGAGGTCGGGCTGTGGGAGGGAGTTTGGGTGGGGGAGGGGGTCTGGAGTGCAGGCTCTGGGAACAAGTTTGGATGCTGGGTGCAGGCTCTGGGCAGGGGTGCAGGCGAGGGTGGGTGTGCAGGCTCTGGGAGGGAGTTTGGGGGTGAGGGGGTGCAGGAGGAAATTTGGGGGCCGAAAGGTGTGTTTGCGGAAGGGGTGTGGGTGCAGGCTCTGTAAGTGGATGGGGGGGGTCTATGCTTACCTGGGGTACCCCCTCCGGCAGCGGCTCCCAGGCAGGGCAGGCCAGGGGGTCTCCTCACACTGCTGTCTCCAGGCACCGCCCCTGCAGCTTCCCATTGGCTGCAGGGGCAGCGCGCAGCGGCACAACCCCCTCACACGGGCTGCGAGGCCCTGCCGGCAGCCACGTGGAACGAGTGCGGAGGAAGCCGCTCAGCCCCGTTGCGCTGCTGGGTGGCGATGAGAGCCTCTGGGCTGTTTTAAATCACCTGGGGGCAGCAGGTGGGGCCAGGGGAAGCATGGGGGGAGGTGGGAAACTTTGCTGGAGCCGGGCCCCTGGGACAGGAATATTCCTGGTGCCTGGGCACCACGGGCCCATAGAACTCGCCGCCCATGCCACCCACAGGTCAAGCCTGCAGTGGCTGAATCTGTGAGGCCCCAGTATTGGAAAAGGTTCCTGACAAAGTTGAACCATATGTTACCACAATGATGATGGACTCTGAAAGAGAGAACAGCCTGGCTGTGAGATCTGAGAGCTTGTTGGGGCTACTTCCCGCCTACAGCTGTGCATGCGCAACTCTCCTTGATGGCCAAAACCTCTCGACAGCACCCAGTCTGAATAGCGGGGCAGGGTTCCTTCCAGGCAACTGGCTGGTGGAATTTACAGAAATCCTTCCGCTGCCTTCAGTGGGCACTGGCTCAGAGAGCCAGCCGCATGGGGGGAGAGAATGCTGCTTTCCCTGCTGAAGCAGTCAGAGCTCAGGCTGGAGCAATTAAACAGGTCCTTTAACGGGCCAGCTGTGTGGATGGCTAATTGCAGTGTAGACATCCCCCTAGGCTCCTTGCCATTACTCATTTAGTGACACCGTGCATTGCAGGTCTTAGGTACAACCACTAGGGGTCAAGCTTTTACATCTGGAGGGGACCGACACCACTTTAGAGGTAACCTAGTCCTGGTTGCTCTGATTCTGACCTGCAGGAGCAAAAAGCTTACTTTGCAAAAGCAGCCACTAGCCCTTGGCTGTGCAGGCTGCTGACGACTTTTAGCACCACAGCACAAAGCGAGGCTTGGTCCTGTTTGGGCCGCTAGGCGTTAATACAAATCATAATGTGGAGATTTAGTGGCTTCATTTCCAAGTGCCAGGCACTCAAACTGCTCAGCTGCCTTACTTGGTCCTCAGCGCTGTAGTACCTCAGCACCGCCCAATCGTCAATGGAGTTTATCCTCACGACCCCTCCATCCCTGGTGAGGCATGGGCTGGACTAAGAGACTTGCCCACGGCTACACAGGATGGTCTCCTGAGTCCCACATCCAATGTACCATCCTTCCTTCTGACGTTGTTGTTCTTGACGAAAACAAGGCTGAATACCTGGTTTAATGCTTTGCCCAGCTAGTCTCTATCAGTGTTGGACAAATACGGAATACATGTCCAGCTACTTAACAGCCTGGGGCTCTTGCCCTTGAAGCGAGAGGTGGCGGTTGTCTTAGAATATGTAGCCATAATGCAGCTGCCAGAGCATGGATGACCTTCCCTTGTGCCAACAGCATGAAGAGCCAGCTGGCAGCTGATTAACTGGGGCATTGCACTTGCCTTTTAATTTTGCCCCTTTGATTTTGGGTCATCTTGCTTACCTTGTTCTGCTTCCACATGTTAATCATTAGTATATAGGAAGTGAGTGAGGCCACCATGGCCCTCACCCCAATCCCATGCCCTCAACCAAAGATTTTCGGGAGGGGGGGTTGAGGGAGTCAGGGTCAGACTTTTTTCACGTGCCAATATCCTTTTTGCAAAAATTCACATGGGATACCTGCCTGCTTGCCTGGCATGTGGCTGCAGACAGGCCACCCTCTGCTTATTCTTGTTGCAATCTTGTATTAAGATTTTATATTGCTTATTGTATTATTGTTGAGCATTTGTTTAAAGCAATATAAACATGTTTTTTACTAATGATGGGCCAGGACTGGAGATCTGCAGCTAAAACCCCTGAACTTCGGGAAAGTTCTGACTCGAGCTTCACTACTTGGGCCCAATATTTTTTTACTAAAATGCCTGGTTATATAATACACTGGCTTAGTGTGTGATCCTATGGCCTTATAGGAACTTCAGTGACTGTAACAGCCTGTTAATTATGCACAGCTAAAAGAATGACTTCTTCAGGTGCTGGCCTGGCTTCAGTGCTAAGGTCAAAGGTTCAGCACCTGGAGAGCACAGCATCTGTGTGGTTGCAGCCACAGTGGGTTACATTGGTATGGGATGTGAAGGTT